GGATAAATTTCCCTGATAAATGGATTCCCTCAAAGATCTTTAAGGGTGTTAGAATGCAAAATTTTCAGAATTTAGTTTATAAACTGAAATAGCTCATTGGATACGTGAATTATGTTCTTTCAAATAATTGAAAGAAAAAATAACTTACTTGATCCAATCTAATGTTGCATCTATTTTTTTAACTTTGATCCCAAAGTGCTTTGAAACAACATTTTTCAATGCCTTCAGTCTGATTAATCTAGAAGCAGATCAGTTGGATCCTTCAATTATCCAGGGAGATTTTCTGAGAAATTCTTAATCAACAATCTTACCTCTCTTCTTCCTCTTCTTCTTCTGGAGTTTTTGGTAGTAGATGACTTTTGTCATCTCTTTGGAATTCCTGGCCAACATATTGTCCATGTGGATCACTATTGGAGATGAACATTAGACCAACCCTTCTTGTTTGGAATGAATGGACAGGATTTCAAATAAATTTCTCTTACACATTAAAACCTTTTGGATCATGAAATGATCCTGTCTCCATTCCTTGCCCAAAGTGAGAGCCTCTGTATGCATATATGTACATGCAGATAATGAAAACATGTCACCAAATAAAATAATGTGTGGTCAGAATCACCCTGATCATTGGCTGATTTGAATGTATGTCTATCTTGAATATGTGCCTACGTTTCATGTAAGAGTGGGGTCCTGGATGAACTGCTGAGTGACCAAACCAAGATTGTTAGATTTACCAATAATTTGTTCTATTTCATGGAAAGGCTAATTGCCTTGCCTTGTCTAATCTAGACAAATGTAAAATGATTAGTGGAATACAAGGATCATTGTGTTGATATTCAGATCATTTTTTTGGAGTAGGTACTCACAAGGAAACTGATTCTTCCACCCTAGCCACTCCATACATGCGTTTAGATAGTCTCAACACAGAACATTCAGCCGGCGTTTTCGGGATGAGTAACACAAAGGAGACATAGATGACCAGCGTAGCGGAGTGAATTAACATTGCTGACTTGCTTTTGATGATGTTTGATATAGAGGGAGGATGCAGTAGAATAAATGAGGAGATCTTTGCAACGATGTTTTCGCAGTCTTCGCCATGAGGAATGTGAGCAGCCCACGGCAATCGATAGATGTTCTTATATACTAATTCTTCGTCTGTTGAATGAGCAAAGAGGCGCATTGACCGCAACATCAACGAGGTTGATAAAACCCAATTGAAAGAGGTCTGAGTGGACGTATTACGAGTTGGAGCGAAACTTCCAGGCTAATTTGCTGCTGTTTGAGCGGTCATAAAACTTACATCAAGACTTCGGAGTGTTGGATAGAAGCAAATGATTGCCTTCTCATATTTATTAAGTAGGACCGAAGCATCAATGTCGGAGTAGAAGCAGTGTAATGCAAGAGTGCCTATATTTGAAATTTGCCTGTTCCAACAAGTTTTAGCAAAGGATGCTAGCACAACCCAGTCTTGGATCAGATAGAAAGGCTGTATCTGACCAGATCCGCATCCCATGTAAATGTTGAAAATCCTATCTGGTTACCCTATCCTTTCTCTAGTCCTATCAATTCTCATTTTTTCTAGTTGATTACTCCTTGTCATCTCAAATATTGTTTTGTGGGATTATCTTGTTAGATTGTTTTAACTAATTTGCCAATCTCTAACCATTTTGGGGCTGATAGGTTTGCAAAATTCAAATATCTATCCTATAACAAAGCTTTCTTGTTTTTAAATTTTCCCATTGCTTTCAATTCAAGTATGCCTGATTGTTGTTATGCCAAAAATAGGGGTTGCCCTATCAATCCAATGTGGTTTCTGCAGTGGAGTTTCTGGTCTGGTTAGCATGTACCAGTTTTGGAATCAAATGTGAATCAAGTGTGAGTTTCAAGTATTCTCTTGAGAATAAAGTTGAAAGTCTTCAAGATAAATCTGCAGTTATTCTATCTCTAACCTCACAAAGCTGAATCAACATTCTAGCTCCTGATCAAAAATACATTTGATGGGTCTGATGCTAGATACATAAGTTCTCCCAATCATTGGATCTTCAACTATTTCAAAGAACAAGACTGATGATTGAATTATTTCCTTTTGGATTTTCAGCATTGATTTTATGGCATCTTCACTCATTTTCACTCACCTGTCACTCTTTTTCTTCAAAACATCTTACACTTCATTTTTTTTATTCAATTTTGTTGCTTTTATCTTTTATTATTTTATTTAAACATTTTATATTGTAACCACATCTCAACATCATATATCTTGAGTATTTTAAGCTCATTTTTCATTAACTCAGCAATGACATCACCAGTCCTGACCACATTGATCCTTGAGAGTCAACACATCTTAGCCTCTCTCTCAAGTGCTTGTATGCCTTGATTTTCTATCTGAATATCTTTGATTAAAGCTTTAAAGGTTCTCTCATCCTTGTCCTCATTGGTTCTTCCAACATTATGTCTACATTTACCCCCTGTAAGTTATAGGGGGTAAATGTAGAACTAATGTTTATTTTTCAGGCAGGTTATAGTATGACCTGCCTGAAAAATAAAATTGATAAGGCTTCCTGGGTAGTTTTCAAATCATATTTAAGACCAGAGCTACCACTAGTAGCTGAAGAAGAGTCATTTAAAATTTTTGCTGAAGGAGAAATAAGTTAGAAGTTTGAATTTCACAAATAAAGGGAAAAAACTAAAAATAATAAAATTGGAAACAATTTCCAATAAGATATCAGGCTGTAAAACACTCCACAATTGGGATTCATGTATAGCACCTGATCAAGGTACTAAGGGAAGGTGATGGGTTCCATTTGCACGGATCTAACCCTAACCCTAAACCTAACCCACAAGCCAGGGTATTGAGGAAGATGATGAGGACATTTCACCAGGTTAGAGCAGAGCACATTTTTCAATGGAGGACTTCCTGTTGCCTAAATTGCTGGATCTGGAAGAGGGTCCTAAACTCTCTTGGCTGGTGAAAACTTGATCTTGATGAATTTTCACCATCAAATAACGTTTAGGATGCCCTTCTAAATTAACAAATTTGGACAATGGGAAGTCCTCAAATGATCATGCAGAACTCAGATTTTTATTTACATCACACTGTTATCAGCCATTGTGGTATCCTCACTTATGTCAGAGAGACAACAGATGTGGAACCATGCAATAGCGGCACAAGACTAGTTTGACTTAAGTGCAAGCCACTACTCACCAGAAGATGTTTTGGAAGATTTGAGTTGATGGAAGCATACTTTAGAGACTTTCAAGCATAGCAGGTTATGTAGTGCACCCACCGGACCCTTTTGATATTGGTTGGGTAGTTGATGTGTCAACGAGTTTTGGAGTGGGTGTTATCATTGAGCAACATCAATTAAAAAGTGCTTATGATGCTGAAACTCCTGGTACCTTAGGGACACACCGACCGGAATCTTTACTGATTACCGACTCGACGTTCCTACAGCAATCCCCTGCCAGCTTAACCTGAGATAATGCCGGCTGCTTGAAGGCTATGAAGCTCACAATCTTTCGGGGTTACTTTTGACTAGCTTGCCATCGTGGTTATGGGACGTCGTGAAGAACGGGCAATGATAATCGCACTCCTCCCCCCTCCCCGCACGCCCACGCCCACGCCCCTCCAAAAGGGGCGTGCAATCCCACCCGCCCCTCCTGGAGGGGCGGGTTTGATCGCACGCCCCTCGGAAAGGGGCGTGGGCGTGGGCGTGCGGGGAGGGGGGAGGAGTGAGATTATGCTTGGCTCGCACGCCAAAGATCCGATATTAGGTTGTTCCTGACCCTGGCCAGTTTGGCCTGATGTAAGCCAAGACCCTCTGGAGTGTTTTGGCTAACATCAGCCCCTCCTATGGGCAATGGAAGACTAACGCTCTCCATGGGCATTAGGAAATGTTACATCCCGGCCAGGAGGTGGGAAGAAACCTCCTGGCACAACAGGTTTGATGGTGGGGAGGAAACCTTCCTAGCTGTTCGAGTCTGTACAATCCTCTATTGGCCGGGAGAGATTTCACACCCGCTGTTAGAGTAAGGCACTCACTCCTACCCTGTCGCAGTGGCGTTGATGGGCTACCTCTCGGGCGTTGGTGAAAACTGCCAAATTCTCAAACCCACGGAGGAGATATCTTTTCCTGCCCACTATGATGTTTTCCTGATTGGCGAAAGAGGGATCCTTCCTGGGAAATTTAAAATTGAATCACACCCGGGATGAGTTACGGTCTTTTTAAAGAGGCTATATTTTGTTATTCCCTCC